CCCCCCCCCCCCCGTTTGGCTGTTCTATGGGGATGCTAATGTACCAAGTAGCTCTCAAGTATTTTCGGATAGTTTGCTCTCATTGTTTGTTATCCTTTTCTTTGTTGGCATGTTCTCAGCATACTTCATGCTTGTTTGTCTGCCCGCGCCACTCGTTGGTCGTGTTGCCCTGCCGTTCTTGTTGTCTCTGTTCTCTTTTTTTTTTTTCCAGGGCTTTGGATGTGGATGTGGACAACCCCACCACCGGCCGTGCAAGCCTGGTGGCCATCGCCAAGGCTGCAGGCGTCACCAACCCCTTCGTCACCTACCAGCAGGTGACCGGTGTGACCGGTGCCTTGTTGCGCTTGATGGACGAAACGAAAGGAAGTGACAAAATCGCGTCAGTCATGTCCTTGGAAGGATGGCGATTTCCAAGTGGCGGGCCTTTCAGGCGTTTATGTCGAGAACGGGCACGACGTATCCATCTCCCATGTTACACATGCCTGTGATCTGGACTACGCGCTTGTACCACACCCTCTTTGGCAGCATCTGCGGGAAGGGAAGGCTAGGGTTGTTGAGACCGCAGTGCAAGTGTAATGGATGGGGGCTAACCCTGCCGTCGCGGCCAGGCTGGACAGATCCCGGCTCTTGTTCTTCGGTCGATTAGCGTCGTGGTCCACTCGTGGTACGGTACACACCACGCACCGTTTCGGAACGCATTTTGGGATGCATCAGCCGGGGATTACGCAGAGGGAAGACTACACAGTATTTTTGCGTATGCGAAATGATGCCACATGCATGGTGTTGTTGCTCCCATCTACCTGGATTTAACTCCGGGCTTGCGTCGAAATCGTTTCTTGGTTCACCAGGTCCGCGAGCTGATGCGAACCCAGGCCTTTATCGAGGCCCAGCAGGGAAGGTTTGTGGTGGCCCTGTCCCTGCAGGAGGCCGAGCACCTCAGGGGCTGCCTCCACCTGTCCGGAAAGTCTACGGGGCTGGTCAGGGAGAGGCCCACCACGGCGGCGCTGAGGCTGACGGACGGAACGTGCTTGGATGCCTCATTGGGGTGAGGTTAAGATCCGCGGCAATGGCCGGCATTTCTGCTGCTTGTTACAGCCGACGGTTGGGAGACGCGATTGGCGATGGGCCATGAGATGTCCCCGCCTTCCCCTACTATCCCAATCCCAACACAGAATTTTTCTCGGCTGTTTGCCATCTGTGGTGTGGCTCTTTCGTTGCTTTCGTTGTTCGATGGTTTGATGCCAGGTACACGGAGCCCCCGCCGTATCAGCGGAAGGTGGCGGAGGCGTGCTTCCGCTTCATGGACTCGGACGCCCGGTTCGCGGACCGGGACTTGGATATGCTGCTCAGAGGCGTTCAAGACAACGAAAAGTACGTCAGTTGCATCACGCGTCTTCACCTATGAACAACCTTCTTTCTGCCGACGCCTACAGCAAAAATGCCATGTTGAGTTGGCGTAGCTCACGGTTGTGTTCATGCCTTTTTTTAGTTGTTTTCCCCTCAATTTTGACGGATGCTGATGCTTTTCGTACTGAAATGTTTTTTTGTTTCTTTCGTTCCAGGTATCTGCGGGAAGCGTGGTTTGTTGACGTCAGGGCCTGCCGAAGAAGGCAACAGGTGGGAAAGATTAAGATCTGGTCAAATCAACTGCATCCTGCTGTCAGGTTAGATCCTGCTGGAGAGGGTCGTATATTTTTTGCGGCCGCTTTCGACCCACTCGCCGTTGACATTCCCTGAGCAGTACTTGACAAGTTCCACGGCAGATTGGGTGCAAGTTGTGTCGGGAGGCACGAACAATAAGCACCCCTGACCCGCTACGCGTTGTCCCCTGAAGCATGCCGACGGCTGCCCGTGTGCGCGAAACATGAACAACAAGAGCCCAGAGATGTAGCAGATTGGGCTCGCGGAGACCGGGCAACAGCCGCCAACCTCCCTAACCCAAACCCGTATTTTTTACCCTTTAATACCCCCAATCTCATTGTATGCCAAGGTGCCGGTCGAGCGAACGCCGGTGTCGCGGGTGTTCCTTGTGCCGGACGAGTTCCACCTGCTGCAGCATCGGGCAACCATCGAGGCCGTTCGCCGCCGCATCGAGGCGAAGGGGCTGCCCGTAAGGGACGCCTTCATCGCCTTCAACTCCTCCAGGACCGGCGCACTCAGCTGCTCGGAGATGTACGGGGCGTTGGAGTGGTTGGGCATCCGGGTGTCTCCTTCTCAGGCAGGGCTTGCTGTCTCCTATGGCGATGTTTGGTGCTGCTTGTTCGTGTGTTGTTGCTGGTGGTGGTTGTGCTACCGTTGTGGAATGTTCAGAGTAAAAGAGAGACGCGTGGCGATTTCGCGTGTAAAATAGTGCTTGGCGCTAACACTACGTCTCACCGGCATGCCCAGCGGCAGTAGAGCGGACGTTGGCGCCCCATGTTGATCGTTGAAATCTCACGCAAAATATTGGTGGTGCTTGAGTCGCTTGAAATATTTGGCATTGCACTCTTGCAGAACTTCTACGAGTGGGTGAGACAAGATTTCGGAGAAATTGCGATTATGCCTCATGTTAAGCATCCTGTGCACCATACGAGACTATGAAGTGATGACTTGTGCCGCTTCCGATCTTTTCGTCTTTTTTTCGGGAACGTTGTCCAACATTTTGCGACGCGATGGGTGGCACTTTTGTTTGTGTGTGCAGGTCCACGACATCGTGCGGACGGTGGACCTGGATTGCGACGGCTACGTCAGCTGGGACGAGTTCAAGCGCGCCTTCTTCGATCCAAGTAAGAGCTGGGATAGTGGATGCGTAAACTGGAATGATCAAAGTTCACTCTACGGTCATGTTTCCCTTATCTCTGCAAGATGGAAAAAGTAAGCGCTTTTTGGACGTATTTACGGGGAAATTTGTATTTTGTATCGTTGCGCTCACTCTCGTTACTTCAAGCTCATGGTTGTTTAATGAACATTTACGCCCTCTCACAGTCGGCAGTAACTGAGGTAGACCGCTCTTGTTAACTTTGAAAAACCATCTTATGCCCCAATATTCTCCCCTTATTCCTCGAACTCAAGTTCTTGCCCTGCGCTTCCTCGAGACTCTCCCCCCAAAATGGGGTCGGTTGCAAAAGTTTTTTTTGTTTCGTGTGGAGCACGAAGGAAAGAAACCTCGCAAACAAATTCTTGTCAACCCTTGGCTTGCCCCTGCATTTCCAGACGCCCTCTCTACTTGTCCCGACTTCGTTCTGTCCTTCCAGGCGAGGACGACGACATTCTTGGGCAACAGCTGCTGGTTGGCTCGTCGGACTGGCCTGACTTTGAGGGCGACGCCTCTTTCACGGTGCCCCCGAAAGCCATGCCGGAGCTGTACGCCTTGCAGGGAGACCAGGTAACGGTTCGTACCTCTTGCTGGTTCTGTTTCTGCTGATGTTCCTCTTACACGTCGAATTTCGCGCCCAGTGACGTTTCCTCTTGGTCCGGAAGGAATGGACTGCAGTCGATACGTGTGTGTGCCAAATCATGCCACCCGTGCTAGACTTTGGGATACGAAACATGTTATACGACAGGCAGTCCGAGCGAACGAGTCGGAGCAGTTGTTCGCCAGGAAGCTGCTGCTATGCGCATTGCTACCATCACGTGCTCACGGCCGGTCACGTTCATCGAACTCCCCCCCCCCCCCCCCC